ACCTAAGGTGGCGGGTTCGAATCCAGCCCAGGCCTGCCAAACAACAATAATTTGGCTGCAACCAAAAAAATAGCCGGGCATTGTGGCAGGTGCCTGTAATCCCAGCTACTTGGGAGGCTGAGGCAGGAGACTCGCTTGAACCCAGGAGTTGGAGGTTGCTGTGAGCAGTGAAGCCAGGGCACTCTACCCAGGGGTGCAGCCTCAAAAAAAAAAAAAAAAGAAAAAGAAAAAGAAAAAAAAAAATTAAAGGCATTTCCCCTTGCTTCCATGAAGTCACAGCTAAGGAATTTTCATCTACTATTCCCAGATTTTAAATTATAATTTAAAGTTGATGATTATCCAAATTTGCAAACACAAGTGTGTGCCTCACTGATGTCAAAAGCAGAGAAGATACACTCAAAAGGCAAGCCATTCTGTTCTGTAGGTGCTGTAATCTTAGTTCTTCCAACTCCCTTCTCATCCATGCCTACAACACAAAACAGTACTTCTACTGCCTGACTCACCCTTGGCTCTGGCTGTAATAGCCTTCGTAGCCTTCATAACTCTGTTCTGCATATGTATCATCATATCCCTAGAACAAATAAAACAAAACAGAAAGTCAGAACCATAGAGAGAATGGAAGATAATTACATCCCACAGGGGTATGGCAGGCTTCTGAATTTGACAGAAAAGACATAAAATTTTCTCCAAAATATTAACATTACTGTAGAAGAGTCAAAAGAGAAGGTTTACATAACAAACAAACCCCAAACAAATATGATATGCTGTAGGTCTAAGATGAGTGTAGATAGAATATCAAGTACAATAGTGAGCTTTAGTATTATCAGGACTAGTAGTGGGAGATCCCTTAGTAAAATTTACATTAAGACCCAGCACATTTCCTTTTAAATATAGATACATGTAGTAAAACATGCCTAAAGTGGAAAAATCTTCAAACAGTTCAATATTCACTGCAAAAGAAGGCAGGTTCCAAATCTTATAAGTAGTCTATGACACCTAAATAAAGGGCAATGGCCCTGTCATTCAACTTCCTTTGGCAACCTTCTAGGTATTGGGAGATGGCACATTGTTTAAATTTCTTACATATTCTTCATATGTTTCTGGTGCAGGGGGTGGAGGCAAAGGTATTCTCTGGATGCCTGCTGTTCGTGCTCTTGGTGTTGGAGCACCTCTCACAGTAGGTGGGGGTGGCACGCCTCGAGTCACGGTGGCACCTCTGGTGATGGCTCCTCTCACTGGAGTACCACGCACCAAAGCCCCACGAGGTGGTCCAACACCACGGCCCCTACAAAAAGAAAGTTTATTTTAAATGGAGCTTTTCATAAATACGTCACTTTCATGTTCATTTTATCTGCAAATTCAGGAACAAGACAGATTCTAGGAAGCCTTAACCAGACTATCATTAAAGCACAGACCAATATGCAGGTAGGTAAACAATCCACACTGGAAGATTCCCCAGGTATCATAGTAGACCAGTGCATCAGTGCACAGTCTTAGGTAGGTCTGGAGAGTCTGAACACTCAAAGATCACTCACAAAAAGTAAAATTCTAAAGTCAGACCATTAAAAAAATGCTAGGACTGACCAAAATTAAGACTAAAAGCTTCAGCAGGACTGCAGCATTTGTCTATGGTCAAAGTCCCCAAGAACTTGAATTCTGTTTTTGAAGCAACATACAAACCATGAGACCCCTTCTAAAGTGGAGATGAGTGCACAGAGAGAGTACTAGTAGTCAAATTTGTATCCTATTTCTGGCTGTCTCAATTATTTTTACCTAGGAACAGGTGGAGGGGGAGGTGCAGCTCCTCGACCTCTCACTGGTACCCCACGTCCACGAGAAGGCTCAGGTACTCCATTCAAGTATGACAGCTCTAGAAATTGTTCCTGGCAGATATCATCCATCATATCCTGGGATTGAAAGATACAAGAAGTCAAGAAGTAGGCTTGGAGCCCATACCTCAGTGATTAGGGCGCTGGCCAAATACACTGGGGCTGGCAGGTTCATACCTCGCCCAGGCCTACTAAACATGACACCAACCAAAAAAAAAAGCTGGGCGGCACCTGTGGCTGAAAAGGGTAGAGTGCCAGTCCCATACGCCAGAGGTGGCGGGTTCAAACCCAGCCCCGGTTAAAAAAAAAAAAAAAAAAAAAAGCTAGACATAGTGGCAGGCACCTGTAGTCCCAGCTACTTGGGAGGCTGAAGCAAGAGAATTGCTTAAAGCCCAAGAGTCTGAGGTTGCTGTGACACCACAGCACTCTACCAAGGGCAACACAATAAGAATGTCTCAAAAAAAAACAAAACAAAAAACAAACCCAAACTCAAGAAGTAGTCCTTCTACTAAGTAGTCACCTGGCCCACAAGCACCTTGCATAGAGCTCAAATGAACTCTCAGATCACTCTCTGAAGTCAAATGGCATTCCATCCATCGCTTCTTTGAGGAAAGTTTTGATGGCAAAACCCTCATTATTCAGACAGAGCTCTTCACAAGGTGGTCCCTGCCTTGCTATCCAGATCATGTCAATCCTCCCTCCACACATAACCTCCTCTCAAGCCATGCTGAACAACTTGCAGTTCAGAGCATGGCATACTCTCATATATCCGTTCTTTGCAAATGTTTCATTTTCCTGAAATAATAAAAGTCACTACTATTAATGGAGCTCTATGCACTGGGCTTTATGTAATAAACCTTATACAGATTTTCATTTAAATCTTCAGAATGACTCTGAAGTAAGGAGGCAGATTGCCACATTTTACATTAAAAAAACAGGTTCAGGGAGTATAAATCAGTCAGCCTAAGGTCACAGAGCTAATTAAGCAACAGACTCTAGACGTGAATTCAGAATTATCTTGTCTCCAAAATCTAGACTTTAGATCTACAGGTTATACTGTCTTTTCTGTCCACCCCAGGGACTCCTAGGATATTTTAAATTGTCTATTTTTTAAAAGATTCTAATGAAGATGAGGCACTTCAAAGCAAGCAGGGTGTCCAACCTTTTGGCTTCTGTGCCTCTCACTGGAAGAAAAGTTATTTGGGGCCATACATTAAACACACAAGCACTAAGGAAAGCTGATAAGAAAAAAAAAAAATCAAATCCATATCTAATTTTCATGGTATCTTCCACCACAAGTAAGCAAAAATGTCCTCACAGGCCACAGACTAGACACAAAATGTTTGCTCTGACAATTCTCATATTCTCTGATAGCACATTTATTTATTTATTTATTTTTTTTGAGACGAAGCCTCAAGCTATCCCCCTGGGTAGAGTGCCATGGGATCACTGTCACAGCAACCTCCAACTCCTGGGCTCAAGCGAGTCTCCTGCCTC